ACTCAATGTAAAACTCTGTTAGAACTATTTATTGTGAATCAAGTTTGTCTGTAATGTCTTGTTTAAATAAATTAGAATAGATATACCATTTATGGTATTAGTCTTATTATGTAATAAATAGGAGTAAAGGAATAAATATTAGAATTAGGCATATATGTATCAAGTATCAACATCCTGCCACCTCCATTTTGCTATAAATACACCATTTTTCCTTCACATTAAAATCATCAATTCTCATATACTTCAAAGCTCAGTTTAGACAAGTATTTCCTTTATATTTTCTAGTATGTTTAGTCTCCAAATGAGAAGCTAAACTCTTCCATCTTGGTTTTGCTACTTTGAAGCTTAATGAATTGTAAGTTGTGAGTTATTTTCTTTAATCTTCTTCCTTGAATATTAATTCTTCCTTTAATCTATCTATATATTAATGTCGGGGTGTGTTACTAAGATGACAATTAGTTAACATCTCGACATTAGTTATAGTAGTATTTATTTTCTTCCTCTATATTAATGTTGGGGAGTGTTGCTAAGATGACAATTAGTTAACATCTTGACATTAGTTATATTATGATTTTTTCTTCTTTAATATTCTTCTTTGAATATTACTTAATTCATATTCATATTTCATATTAATATTTTGAGCATTACTTAAAGGATCAACTAGTTTTGTTTCATATATTAATTATTACTAGAATCGATTGACGAATACGCTTGTTAATCGTTCGGTTCTTTCACGGTAGTAAACTTGAGTTATTAATGCATGCGTCTCATGGTTAATAACCTAAGGAGAATTAATTATATTGGTTAAACCGATAAAGCGCTTGTGTTGAGGTTATCAATCTCAATCATTTTTCATCTCAATTTTATTGCTACTATCAAGTTAATATACGGCGCGTGTTCTATATTGACTCGGTAGTAAGTTTTATTAATGAACGCGTCTCGTTAAACTGGATATACTTATCGATTGAGTATTCGAGAGGAAGATAGTTAAAGATATAATCGGGGTCGACGAACATTTCATGAAGTGGAGAAAAGCAAAGCTAAGTCCTCTTCTCTATTAATTAAACTCATATAAGTCGTTCATCTTCGTATTTAATCAATTAAAATCAAACACACCTAAAAACCCCCTTGTTACTAGTTACATAAAAGATAAATATTCCTTTCCATGTGGATACGAACCTTACTTCGTTATACTACGTATAATCGTTGTATTGATATTTATTTTGAGTGCACACCACGACGAAGTGTTCGTCAACTAGGTAGGTGACGGGCAACATATGGTTGAGGACTGATTGAAGATTTGCAAAGCCAGGCGATGGTGAAGAAGAACAAAACAAATGTCGGTAACCTTGCATGTGTTCAACAATCGAATTGGATTTTGGGAACTTTCCCTATTTCGGTCGCGAGCTTATCAAAAATGTAACTAACATTACGAGTGAGAAGTCAAGCAATTCGCCAGCTTGAGGTAACACGGCAACTAATGCTTTCTCCTTGTGTTCATCGTCACCATCGGTGAATTTCTCTTCAGAGGAAAGTTGTTGCAGACTCCTGATGGAACGATAGAGTTTGCGCACAGTGAGAAGCGGTTTGCGACGAAACACGCGAACTGGAAGAATCGGCTAGCGACGATGCCTCCAAACCGGTAAAATATGCTCACGATGGGTGTTATGTATGTGGACAGAGTCGGGTTTTGAGTAGGCTTGCGTTGGCCTCTTTTTGAAATTAAAAGTAAAAAGTGAAAAGTTGGAAGTTAAATATGAAATGTAATATGTTGGTGGACATAAATGACAAAAGCACATATTTTATTAAATAGTTGACCATGCGGGAAATTTCCACATTTTTCTGTTATACAAAAGCACATATTTTATTAAATATATCAACTTTTATTTTTCAAAATCAATTTTTCTCAAACAATACCAATTTTTATTATTAAACACTTTTTTCAAAATCACTTTAAAAAGTGATTTTTAAAACAACAAAAGCAATTGCAAACACTCCTTAAATTGGATTAATTCAGACCCGATTAAACCAGATCAAACTTAAACAAATTAAATAAGACCATATCAGATCAGGTCAATAAAAAAATGTAATCCAATAAAAAACATCCTAAGAGTCTTTTATTAAGTTATCTCTCACATGCATGAATTGAGTAAATCTATTGAATTGTTGAAAAATTAAATTGAAAAATATATTTTATTAATAAAACAAGGAACAAAATTTATGAAAGCCAGTTAAAATAAGCATGTAAGGTCACTTCAGTCAATTCAGTTAGAAAAGTAAGTTTATTCTTACTTTAGAATATTTTTTAAATCGTTGGAACATATTGTTATATACCTTAAGGATCTAGACAAGAAGGTACAAAATAGCAGCACAAGCCATTTACCTAGCGGGTTGAGACCCTGCGCCGAGGCTGGGATCACATTGTAAGCTCGGCTCCGCACTACGGGCCCATTCCGCTTCGGGCAAAGCTACTTTAATGAGGTCGAGCCGACTGCCACTGTAGATCTTTTGCCGATGCTATTAGATGAGACTGAGCGGGCATGTCCTGCCACATCTCGATTACAGTTTCGGACCCAACCATTTTTTAGGGTTTCAAGATATTCACATTTTCAGGGCTTATGTCACAACAGTCTTCGTTCACGTCATAGGCCTAGATTGCGAAAGGGATGACATTATTAGTGACATAAGCAGCCTGTTTCAACGGAGAAAGCGGTCCAACTCAACTGGTCTCCGATTCACTTTGCTTTATGGGATGTCTCGGGTTCGAAACTCAATGGAGTGAGTTCCAACCCAGTTTACTCCAGATCCCCCAAAGGCCCAAACCCCACAGACCCCCTGGAGTAAAAAAAAATTTAAAAAAAAAAGCCTGTTTCAACGGCCGACATTATCTTACATCAACAAGCATGTTCCTCTAGTATTCATCAGACATGTGTGCCCCCTTCATTAACTTAACATTTTGGGCTTAGGACTAGGGGTGGATTCGGGCCGGGTCGGGCCTAGGCCCGGCGGGCTTTTGGATATTAAGTGGTAGGGCCGGGACTGGCCCGAGTATCCACCGGGTCCGGGTCCGGGCCGGGCCTGTCATAATGTTTTTTATTCTTTCCTAACTACTATCTGACCCCCCCCCCCCCCCCCACCCCCAAACCGGGTCAAAACACCCTGGTGACTCAGCCCAACCCGGAAGGAAGCAAAAATAAATTGAAAAAAAAAAGAATTTAGGCCCGAACTGGGGCCCGGCCGGGCCGGTTCGGATTTTACCTAGCCCGTACCCGCCCCGGATAACCCCCCAAAACGGGCCTAGACCCGGAACCGGTACCCGGTTCCCGGTCCGGGCCGGGCCAGTTCACGGGCCGGGTGGCCCCGAACCGGGTCCAAGCCTACTTAGGAGTTAGGACCCAGCCTTGTATCTTTGTCTGTATATAGTCACATTTCCCTTTTTGAAAAGCGACTGAAACTCATGTACTGTTTTTCTGTCATTGATTACACAATTTTTTCACTCTATATTTGCTCTAACTTCTCTCTAGTTTCACTATCTCCAGATTCTTTAACCCATCATTTGGTGTCTCATTCAGAAGCTCGGACAGTACAAGTTAGATCCACTCCATGTTTGTTCAACTCTTCAGTGAAACAAGTCACAAATTTACACCCAAAGTTGCAGCTCCCTCAGCTCTTGTTAATGATTTGGACCGAGAGAAGCATGTGGAGACCATTTCCCTATCTAGAGCTAGGTAGAAAAGCAAGTTGTTGCAGACCTGCGAGGGATGATCCAACAGAAGACTCCTGATCTGATCGAAGCAACGTATCCAACATCGGCCTCAACTTACTCCTGACAATCTCGAGATTCAGGATATTTCTTACTTTCTTAGGCTCAACCAAACTTTGTGGTTCAATCGAATCAAATAGAAAATTGGTACTTTGATTTGGTCACAGTTCACTTGTAGTAAACGTTTTAGTAAGAATATGCTCAAACCAAATGGTTTGATTTGATTTGGTTTTAAACTGAAAAATCATAAATCGAATCAAATCATTTTTTAATATATATTAAAATTAAAATACTTTGCATTTCTCTTCACTGTTCATCTCTAAGAAATAAATAAATAAATAACCTATAAGGCTATATGTGAAAAATACATGTTTATTTTCTATTTTTCAAACATAGAACTTCTATCAATAAATCAAATAAGTCCATAAATATATCAAAGTGAATCAAATCAAACTAAACTTTTCTTCCTATTAAATGCATCAAAATAATTTAAAGCTATAGACAAGGATATTATGTAGCTTCATTTAAAGAACTTTATTCTCAATCTGAAATAATTCATCAAATTATAGCTCTATACTCTCCTCAATCTAATAGTATTCCGAACACAAGAGCATAACTCTTAAAGACATTATATTATAGCTCTATACTCTCCTCAATCTAATAGTATTCCGAACACAAGAGCACAACTCTTAAAGACATTATGAATGACATGTTGATTAATTCATGCCTCCCCCAGAACACATTGGGGAGACAATTTCTCGACAAATCACATTTGTAATAAAGTACCATACAAAACAAAGGACATAACTTCATAGAAATTATGAAATAGTAGTGAGCTATCTTATAAATATTTTAATTTTAAAGTATTGGGATGCTTAGCAAACGTTATAATACCTAAATCTATACAAGTTTAAATGTTTTTACTTGGACTATCCCAGTCTCAAATCAAAGCAAACCAGACTTAAACAGACCAGATCAGACTTTCATAGTTATAAATACACAAAGACCTTACATTTACCAGATCAAATCAAACTTAAACATATTGAACTAGACCAACAAATTTCAATCCAATATGGTTGGACAATACAATTTGATTTTATTTACTTAGTTAGGATATTAACTTTTTATTATATTCCAATTTAAATTTTTCGGCTTTGTAGAACTTTTAATTTAATATCTAAATATGTAAATTTTAATTATTAACACTAATTTCAATATTTATGCGGATTTATATAATCTCTAAATAAATAATTTCTTATAAGTAAAAAGACTAAAAACAAACTCAAACACTGTTAATTTGATACAAGAGGACAAAGTGACAAACACAATAGCATATCTGAAGACAAAAATTGACACCAACTCTTTTTTATCCCCTACCATAGTATTGAGCAAACATTACAGATCCGGATACCAAAGAGGGAAAAGAGTAAAGATACATCCACACATAAACAAAGCATAAATTCACTGAAGACTTCACTTGAAAGTGGAAAGCCTTGGAAGTTTGTCTCGCAAATAGTACAACCTTGCCCGCCTCACTTTACGGTGTTTTACTACCTTGATCTCTTTGATGTTTGGTGAATATCTGTAACAAATAAAGACAAAACAGTGTATCAGAAAATACTAAACATGGACAAGTTAAGAGCATAAGAACCAAAGTGGTGGTATTTGGAAATTTGTGAATGCCATGAATGTTGAAGACATGTAAAAGTAAGAAACCTGCATAATAGTTTTCATATTTTTCATTAAAAGCCAAATGCTCGTTATGAGGACTACAAGGGTCTAACTTCCATGACTGCAGAAGAGATTGAGATACAGAAAAAATTACTCCCTCCGTCCCATTTATATTGTCCCGTTTTAGCTTTTCGGGAAGTCCCACTTAAATTGTCTCATACCATATTTGGCAAAGTTTGTGTGGCTCTAAATCATTCTTACTTTATTCTTACTTTATCCATTAATATCAACCACACAAACTCACTTTTCTTAATAACCGTGTCACCCTCTTCCGGGACAATATAAGTGGGACGGAGGTAGTATATCTTTCCATAATGCGGTTGTGCAAATGTTTAAAATTTGAAGAAGTTCCCTGGTAAACTTTGTATTAGTATGGATGTTTAAAATGTCTCAGGTTGAACTTGATCCCTGTTTATGACTTTATAGTGCAACAGGCTTTCTTTGCAATTTTTACCTCAAGTTTCCTTTTCTACTTCTTAAATACTCCTTAATACTCTTCCATATTATTGCCAAAGATTAAAAAATAAGGGTCCAATCCACATGAAAAATGTTGGGGAAAGAAAACAAGAAGGAAAATACGGTGAAATTTTGGATGTAAAGAAAAGTGAAACTAAGAAATCTACATATTTTTATTGTGCAAGACCAAGGGCACGTTCATAACACTGAAGTTGCCTAAATTGGCTCTGAAGCTGTTGAAATTTGTGAAATTGTAAGTGAAATGGCTGAATTGGCTGAATTATAGAAAAACTATATTTCAAATATATTTTATTTTACTAATAAAGTTAAGAAAAAATTAAATGAAAAATAGCTAAAACAGTCCTCTACCGTAACTTCAGCCAATTCATCCAGGAAAGTACCTCCAACCTTACTTATTTTGATAATAATCAAAATAAGTAAGGTTGATAAAAAACTACGTGTTTGATAAAAATGTTGTAGTAAAAGCTTAAAATAAGGGTTACCAAACAAGCTTTAAGAAATCTATATATATGTAAAAGCTTAAGAAGTTGTAATAAAATTTGATTTTCTTTCATATTTTCCAAGATAAACAATTTTTTTTTAGAAAACTCCATTTTCATTAGTGCACCTTTTTCTTTTGCTCAACATTTTCCAGGCACCAACTACCAAGCAATGCCTTAAAGCACATATGAGGCGAAAGTTTGTATGAACAAGAAGATGAAAGAAACAAACTACAAGAAAACGTACATAGGGAACACAATCTCAACCCCAACACCAGCAATGATCCTCCGAATCCGAATGGTAGTGTGAATACCAGCATTTTGCTTTGACATGACTATACCTTTATAAACAGACAATCTCTTCCTGTTTTCTGGAACTTCCTACAAAGTTAATAATAGAAAACACCTTATAATAAGGTTCTTTAATTCGAACACTTATAATATGTAATCATTACCACCTAAAGCTGGAAGAAAAAAAATTAAAAGTACCAGCTTGATCTCTACAATATCACCAGTCCTAAGATCCGGTACATGCCTTTCAGTATCAGCTGCTTCAACTGCTTTCTTGTTCAATATCTACTAAGACAAAGTAAAACCCTTCATCAAATTACTGCCCTTCTCCTCCAACGTGCCAATTTTAAGTTCTGTGTAAAAAATTATTATTGAGTACAAGCTAAGCTATCATAATTACCAATTCTAATAACATTAGTTCTTCTTCATACCCTTGAATTGGTCTTGATTAGATCAGATTTAGGGGTGTTCGGATCTGATTCTTAAAACTGCTTGTGCTCTCTCAGGGAGCAAAAGCAGAAGCTAGAGTGTTTGGATGAAAGTGCGGAAGTGATTTTGTTACTCTTTTTTACTCCTACAATCAATTTTTAGAAACTGAAAGTGACCCGCTTCTGAAAATTGATTCTGATTCTGCTTTAGGCTAACCGCAACCCGGTTCCGTCAATAAATCAAATTTGTCATCAATTTATACGTATTCATTCAGTCAATTCAATTTTCACTGCAACCCAATTCCGTCAATAAATTTACGCAACAATGTTTTTTTTAATAAAGCCTTAATTTTATTGTTACACATCAATATTTTTTCCAAATTTTTGTTATATGTAATTATTATTTGAAAGATCAAACATTCCAATGTAAAAATAAATAAATTTAGAGTTTGATTTTATAGCGGTTACTTTAGACCTATTTTAAAAAGAATTAGGTTTACAAATCTTGAAGAACTGAAACTTCATTTTTTTTTCAATTTTATATATCCAAGATTGGTGTCATATGAAAGATCATGAAAAGTTATGAATTATCATATATTTTTTATAAAAATTGAAATTCAAATAAAAAAGTTATAATAGTTTAAATATAATTGGGGTTATAATTTAAATGGGACCATTGCTTATTTCTTTGTGCCCAACAACCACGATTGCTTTGTCTTCTCCGTGAATAAGGCGTGAGGTATTCACTTGAGCTGAGCTACCAAGCCACTTTGGCACGCACGTATACCATGGGTTGCATCAATTTTTGGGGTGAAAACCTTAAAAATTGCATTTTCACCTCTGGGTTGCAATCAGCCTTAGAGAAGTAGAAGCAAAATCAGTTCCAAACGCCCCTTAGTTAATCTAATAGAGTATGAAATTATAAGATTTATATGTCTTTCCAAAACTAAAAAATTCTCATTATGCCATTTCATTGAATTTTCATGTGTATGTTCGGCTTTCTCACCAATCAAAATAAGCCAAACAGCCTATGAAAGGAAAAATGGAGAAAAAATATAATACCCCCATTATATCTCCGAGCTTAATCCGAGGCTTCCTGGGAGGCTTTTCCTCTTTTGCGGCGGCATCCATTTGAGACTCTGACTCAGTTTCTGACCCAGATTCGGGTGCAGCCTCCTCTGCAATAGGAGCTTCAGAAACTTCATCCACTCCCTCTTCATCAGCTCTAACAACAAAAGGTTGCTTTCCGCGCTTTGAAAGGCTGGAGTGGATAGAATTGGATGAAACCCTAGAAAGTTCAGTTGCGAATGAATTGAGCTCGGAGGGACGGAAGAAAGAAGAATATCCTGGCCTCTTCGGACCCCAATGAGTGGGGTTCTTTGGAACCACAAACAACACCGGAAAATTAATCAAAGACACCTGAGAAAGAACATTGGAGCCCATTGGCAAGTAAAATAGAGCAGGGATGGTGATGATGATAAAGAAACGGTATCTTGAGAAGTATTATTAAGACATGAAAGATGAAAGGTAAGCGAAAATCACAGCAGTTCGAGAAGTGAGAGGTGCGGACGAACGATATGAATAAACTTTTTTTTTTTCTCACTGAGCTCCTGCCTGGTCTTCTCAAGTTCTGATGGATTATGGCGTGTGTCCCTTCCACAGTTAAAATAAGTTGTCGAGGCCTGATCCTGACCAAGACAGGACCAGCCGTTCCACCGTTGCCATTTGTTGCCCTTCCCAGTTAAATCTTTTCTTGAAATTTTTTGAGCATGTTATTCATGAATCCTAGTTTATCCATACCAAATTTCAGCTAAAAATTCAATCGGGAAGGCAGTCAAATGATTTTTGGAAGTTAACTGCGCAGTTTATATAGATATAAAACGCAGTTATCTTCCAAAAATCATTTAAGTGCCTTCCCGGTTGAATTTTTAGCTGAATTTGGTATGGATAAACTAGACGTGATGAGGAACATGCTCAAAAAATTTCATCAAAAAATTCCACCAGAAAGAGCCTCTGATGACCTTGGCCGGACGGCGCCTCCCGTCCCCCTGGATGGACCTGATCTTTTCTGATAAGTTCTCTCCTATAATAAAGCTTTGGCCAAGAAACGAATAATCCAACTTTTTCTAGTCTTCTTTAAAGTTAGTTCATCAAAAATCCAAACCTTGTGTATTACTGTGTCTTCCTTCTTTAATCCCTTCGTGATACTTACAATGTTTTCTTTTCGACTCTTTTCGGTCTCAGACCAAACCAGACTTAAACATATCAGATCAAATTGGACCAAACTAAAAAAACACTAAACTCGACTTGGACAATTATTCAATACACAGAAACCATACATTTACCAAACCAGACTTAAATAGACCAGACCATACCAAATCAGCAAATTTTAGTCCAAAAGAAAATATCGTTACCGATTGTTGAAAGTTATGTAAATGTAAACTAACCTCTTATTTCAGTGTGTAAAATTTTTAAAAGTTTATAATTACGTAATTCGTTCATACGTACCCTGTGCCACACCCCCTTCTTTCTTCTTTCTTCTTTCTTCTTTCTTCTCTCTTCATCCTTTCTCTTTTCTTTCATGCTACATTCTTCGTCCACACCAGTTCATTCAGTTTGCACTCTCAAAGTTCACAAGCCAAAAAACCCTAACTCATTTGTTTGGTAAGTTCGAGTGATTAGTACTGGTACTAGCAAATAAGCCTTCAACCACAGTAGTAGTGGTTCTTACATTCATTTATTACATTTCATGTCCAAAGCCAAGAAAAATAACTCCTACCACTAAAACTAAGTGCTAATAGCACTGACATAGGCCATTGCAGCAAAAGCAACTACTGCAATTCCAACAAACCCAAACAACATCCTAAACAGTTTTGCATCCTTTTGCTTCACTCTCAATGACCCTTCTGAGACCATCAACATCCTTGTTTCACTATCAATCACCATTCTAAGACTTCAATTTGTCCTTGCACAACACTTAACTGGTCAGCTACTCTTGAGATCATGATCCTTCATCTGTATTTTCGTTCCTCTTTTCAGCATTCATTGCTACAGGCGTTTGCAATTCATCTTTCCACAAAAAGTAACCACACGCCCTAACCTGATATTCAATGTCACAAATAAAGAAATTGTGAAAGTTCTTCTTTGCAGACGAAATTACATAAATTCCAACAATTATAGTCAATTAATTCTACCTAATTGAATAACAAATAGGCTAAAGGGTCAAATAGGTACATGAACTAACTTAAAGTGTTCAATTAGCCCATTATATAAGAGGTTCTGTCCGGCCGTCGCCAATTGAGGCAGTCCCCGGTTGAATTTTTTGATGAAATTTTTTGAGCATCTTCTTCATTAAGTCTAGTTTACCCATGTCAAATTTCAGCTAAAAATTAAATCGGAAAGGCAGTCAAATGATTTTCCAAAATGTACTGTGTTGTTTAACTGCACAGTTATCTTCAAAAAATAATTTGACTGCCTTCCCGGTTGAATTTTTAGCTTAAATTTGGTATGGGTAAACTAGACTTAATGAAAAAGATGCTAAAAAAAATTTATCAAAAAATTCCACCGGGAACCGACCCAATTGGCGACGGCCGGGCAGAACCTCATATATAAGGGGCTAATTGAACACTTTAAGTTAGTTCATGTACCTATTTGACCCTTTAGCCTAACAAATAATTATTACCTTCCAATTCTGGCACCGTAGAACATTCTCCCACTCTCCCGTCCTACACAGAGCGGAGTTTTCAATCTGTAGTAACAGTATAACGAAGGCTCATAATCAAGTCGAAAGCTTCGTCCTTTTGTCGCATTTGAAGAAGATGCAGATGACATTTGAAGAAGATGCAGGCGACCTCTAATTAGGGTTCTTGACCGAAATAGAGAAGGGATAACTAATGAATGGATAAGAGAAGCATCAGGCTTAGTAGGAAATAAATTAATTTGAAAAATAAAATAATATTATCCATGTTGGCAGTCACATCAGCACTTAACAGGCTAAATCGGCTCATTCCCGGCTAACAAGACGAATTAATTATTTTTAGCACTTTGGGGACTTGTTGAAACTTAAAGTAGTAGAAGGACTCAATTGACTTTTTTTTGAAAAGTACGAGGACCTGATAGTTTTCCCTTGATGTTATTACACACAAGACAAAATTAGGGTTATATTGAGTTGGAGTTTGGTATTATTAGATTGACAAGGATTTTGCTATTCTTTGAGTGTAAAAATGAAATCTTAGATGAGAGAAATTGAAGTTTTGTTTGTGTGCTAGAGGATGAAAAATGCGGTTTCTTCAGGTGCGAAGATGGTGTTCAGACACATACATCACCTCTAATTGGAGATGTCAACATATTTCAGAAACATCCCGTCACAATTGACCTACAACTTGAATGGAGGAGGATGAAAGAAAAAATTAAGAAGATGTGTTTGAAAAATAAAAAACTGACAGAGGAATTGCAGCACATGAAATATGAAATTTATGAACTGTGTAGTGAAAATTTAAAGTACTCAAGAAATGAGGATAAGTATTGTCTTTGTCTAACTATTTCAGTGCTCATATTTTCTATTGTATTGTTATTCTTGAAATGGTATTATTTTAGTCGTAGCCCGTAAGTTGATTACTATGGCATTGTAGTTCTAGAACATATATCATTGTTTAATAAATATCTTTAATATAACATGTTGTTTTTTTAGCCAATTTGATAATGTTGGTAGTTGACTGTATTAACTAAGTGCAATCACTCTGAGTTTCCCTTTGTTTTTTGTCTACTGGCTAGGCTAAGTACAGTTATTGCATGTATTATTTCTGAATGATATTTCAAGCACAAGGTCATTCTTGAGTGCCAATTCTGTGGCCATTCTCACTGTTTCCACTTGAGACAATATCATTAAACATTGAATCACCATATTAACATTAATGGGTGCAAAGATCAGAATGAAGCTTGTAATGAAACTGGTGCATGGAACTTTTATAGAATATAAAAGTATCCACAATACGCTGCCATGCGATTTTAAATTATAGGTGAACCATGAGAACTACATTCCATTCTAAATCATTACTGCATATTGCAAAATCAAATCAGTAATTGGTCACTACAGAGATTGATAAATGACCATATCACATAGATCTATAAATAATAATCTCTTTTCCAAGTCGAAATCTACACACTTTCCAATCAGATCAGTCTTGTTCCTCTTAACTGGTCATGAATCCACATGGTTGGTGATTGCATGACATATCATAATAGTATTCAAAATGATTTACAAAAGCACGCGCACCTTTAGTTTGCACCTCTTTAAGTGTAGAGCAAAATTATGTCTCGCACAGTGTCTATGCTCAACTCGAGGAAGATCTTTTGAAACTACTTTTACATTTATAATATCATGTGAAATAATGACATATCATTATATGTAATCAAAAGAACTTCAAAATATGACAGTATTATAGTTGTGTACCTTATGCTCATCGGCACTATAGCTATGCCTGCTCCTTCACCCAAGTCCGGTCAGCTTTGGAGAAGTATGGAAAACCTCTTATTGGTTATTTTTATCTTCAATGACTGCCCAAGCAATTGGATACATTCGGGCATCATCATCTGTGATATCCTTATTTCACATAATAGTTATCTCCAAAGGGAAATCTATTGAAAACTGTTGGGATTAACAGGATCGTGCTAATATGAGAGAAAAACACTTCTATTACTTTCAAGAATAGAAAGAAGAGACATACAAGCTCTAACTAAAAAACTCTCAAAAACACATCACATATCTCTCAAGGATATTCACAACACTCTTGGTTGTGCTATGATTATCTATCTATTCTAATTTACTTGATGATAGAAAGACTCTCCAAGCTCTCTATTTATAGCACCAAAACTAGGTACTAGGAAGGTGGGAGGAAGATGGGTGGAAGCTTAGGAGAAGCTCCAATGGAGGTGTGAGGAAGGTGGTTCCTTGGTGTGAGGAAACTTCCCAGAGACATAAATGCACATGGAGGAAGCTTCATGGAAGCTAGGAATTGGATTCTTCAATTTGCTTCTACTTGGATATGTCCCGGAAATTGAATTCTTCAATTCTCCCCTTCCAGGCATATTCAGAACAAGCATCTCGACTATGTCTCTGCACAGCTCTAGCTTATCTCGTGTCACCACCTTTGTCAGCATGTCTGGTGGATTCTCCTTGGTGTTGATCTTCACTAGTCTCAACAATTGTTGATCAATCGTCTCCTATATCCAGTGATACCGAACATCAATGTGCTTTGTACGAGAATGGTACATGGAGTTCTTGCTCAAGTCTAGAGCATTCTGACTGTCACAATGTACCTTGTACTCTTTCTGCTGGATCACAAGTTTTTGGAGAAAGCTCTTTAGCCACAACATTTCCTTACCTGCTTCAGTGGTAGCAATGTATTCTGCTTCTGTTGTAGATAAAGTGACACACTTCTGCAATCTTGATTGCCAAGAAACAGCTCCCCCTGCAAAAGTGTAGATGTATCCTGTAGGAGACTTTCTACTATCAATATCTCTGGCCATATCAGCATCTGTGTAGCCTTCTAAGACTGGATCAGCTCCTCCGTAACAAAGACATAACTTCATGGTACCTTTCAAGTACCTGAGAATCCATTTGACTGCCTCCCATTGCTCCTTCCTGGGCGATGTCTGGCCTTGTGCATACCATGGCGTACATCAAACTCCCAACTGCGGAAGAATATGGAACTGCTGACATCTCC